TTCTCACTGCTTTATGTGCTTTTCGGGAGAAATAGCAGAAAACGCATTGGAACTTCCTGGGATACAAATGTCATGCGTGTGACTAAAATCTTCAGCCAATAAGGGCAAAGTTGTGTCGGTACGGAGGCGGTTCCAGTTTGTTCTGCACGGTCTGTCTCAAGTCGTCTTGCTCTCGCGAGGATTTTGTACCATGTGACATGGTGATGCGTGGTGACGTTTTGGAACATTTCTTTGCCGACTTCGCTATCATGCGATGTGTATGAAGTGTGTGGACTGTGAAGCACTGTGTCCATTGAGAAAATGTATACAATGTAACGTTTTTAAAGTAGATGCATCTGACCGGTCTCGAGAACTACAGAACTACTAATTACTCATTGTAAGTTCAGCCTAGCTGCACTTACACCTAAGTGAGCTCCTTGACAGCTGTTAGTCTTTGATGTATTATATGCTTCATTTGTACTTTGCTTTGGACAAAGGCATCTGCTAAATGTAGATGTCACTGTCTAGCTTAGCGTCCTTGATAGAGTTTGCTGGACAGCTGGTCTGTGGATCCGCAGCCTTGTTCCCGGGTACTCCCATGCAGCAAAGTTGCTAACAACCTTGGAACCAATCAACTGTATGGTTCCTGCTATGTAAGTGGCTAACGGCTAAGGTTTTGGCAAACATGCCCCAGCTTGGCACTTGGCTCTAGCTTGGGTTGATTTGTGAAGTTTGCATGTTCTTCCCATCTCACATGGAATTCCTCCTGCAGGCCCAAGACATGCAATTAGGCTGATAGGTTTCTCAAAATTACCACAATTGTGTGTATATTGCTGCAATGGACTGGAATCCTGTGGGATATATCCCTGCCTTGTGACCTGTGCTACCTGGGATAGGCTCCATGCCCCTTTGACCCCATCCAGGACAAAGGTTTAGAAGATGGTTAGATATATGGAAAAAAGTGTGGCAGTATTTAGTGACGCGCTCTTCAGGAAGAATGCATTAATTAATGTCTCTTAATCACAGATAAAACCATTCATCACTCTCTGAAATCTTGCCCTTTTTTGATCACCCTTCATTGTTGTTCAAGACTGTTACACTTGGTTTTTATGTTAACTTTGTTAACTTATCCATTTGATCTGAACACACTGAGCAAAATCAAATGAAATTTGTCAGCATGGACTGCACCAGCTGCATACATCCTGTTTCATCCCATTTTGCACTGCAGATTTCACTGCATGAAAGATCAGAAGCAAACAACACTAGGCCAAGGCAACTCATTTATAACAGCATAAAATTATGTATGCACCTACAATGACTATTAAATGCTAGTCTTGGTGGGCCTAGATCACCTTGTGAAAAAACTGCTGAAATGCAGCTTGATGCTCTTGACATAAAAATATCCAGGCTCTAGTTACATTGCCTGCTGTTCTCCACCAGAAAGAGATTAGATCTGAAAGTAAAGAGCTACTAAAATTGAAATAGCGCCCTTCTTGATGAGTAATCTTACTGAAAAATTGGAATGGACAAAGGGATATCTTCTATAACTGCTTTCAGCCAAAATATATGAGGGTTACAGTAACTTATGAAACCATTACATATAGAAATATCTTTTAAAAACCCCCACCAATCCAACACCATTTAACAGGGGTACTTTTTGGTCCCAGTTTCTGTGAGCTTTATTCACTTGGCTGTAGATCACTTCCTACAAGCTGTTAATTCCCCAGATTTATTTAGCAAAGAACAAAATATTCCTGCCAAAGCAAACATCTAAGTCAAACATAAACATTGTTCTTATAAAATACCTGATATTGAACTATAATAACTGATGTATTAATTGTAATATGAATGTACTAGCTAACAGCAGCTGTAGATCACGTCAAATATAAGCTTAATCCTGTATTTAGATACCAGTAACTGCAGTAGATTCAGCACTGGAAAAAAACACTTTAATGTAACAGAATGTGCTAGAAAGGGCCATGTGTGTGTGTCTTTCTTTACATATTAACTGAACTGGCTTCTGCGCTTTATACCGTAGTTTATGTGTATAACGTACTGGATGAAAACAAATGCATGCAGGCAGGCAGCAGTCAAGGGCAGAGAGAGACCTCACACAAGGTGTTAGCCTCATATTGTCATTGGCAGCAACAGTCCATGGTGAAACATCTGTTTAGCTGCTTGGAGGGCAACCTGTCATATACAGTCAACCTTAACATGTCGGAAAACACTACTGCTACTTCAGTGGCAGACTTTAAAATGCTGTCGAAATGCAAATACACATGTACAACTAGGAAGCAACTGTCAGTGAAGGGAGCAACGTTACGGATTCTGCAGACAGCCGCTTCTCAAGGAGAAATCTGATTAATAATGGATATCTTGGGAACATCCAAAGATGGGATCGGTGAATCCAAAGCGTACTTTCACACAGAAAGTTTGCAAGATATAACTGCAGGGGCCTCTTTATCTAAAACAGAGAGTGAATTCTCGTAACACAACATTAGAAAAGGGGGGAGGCAAAATTCACTTTTTAAATATCAGCTTTAATTCTGGTCTTTTTCGAGTGACACATAGAGTAAGGAAAAATGACACTTATATTCAAGTACAGTACACAAATTTGAATTCTTAGGCTAAGAGACATAGAGATTTTTTTGTAATATGTGTGGATGGACAGAGTAAATGTCCATTATATACATCATAGATATTCATACAAAGGGGGAAAAACAAGCTGAGCTGGTACAAGTAGGACAACTGAGGTAAACAGTAGCATAGTTCAACTACTTCTGTCATCTACATTATTGCACTATTTGAAAACATAAAGCCCTAAGGCAGAAATAGTCACTATTCCTAAAATCCTGCGTGAACGTGATTGGACAAGAGCAGCTGACCTACAATACTGTGTTTATGTCAATGGGACAAAATAAAACTACGGAGGCCATGCAGAGTGAAAACATGGCAGGAAATGATGAAACAGATGAAAACAAACCCTTATTGTCTCTTAAAGACCTAAGAAGAGAAGCTAAAAACATACCTGCATGTTTCAACTGTCTATGTTTACTGGAACACGAAACACGTCACATTTCAGTGTGTGCCATTTTCCGTCTTGCTCTTGTGGTTTGGCATTACGCTATATGTTTTTATGCTACAACGTGAGGCTGAAATCAGTGATCTGCAGAAGTAGTGAAGTAGTGGCTGAGATACTCAGATTGAAGCCTGAAGTGATTTTGCAGAGGACTCTCCAAAATATAGTTGCAGGTATCATCTGGCCTGGCTGATGAATGGTTGATTACTCATAGAGAGAAATGTGTGATGAGAGCCGCGACGACATGAGCCAGTGCGCTTCACAGCCCAACAACTTGTATGAGACAGCTGATGGCGGAACATTGACATGTAATAAATCCAATTGCTTCTTGTCCAATCACAACCTTGCATTAAGGTTCCTGTCTACTAGAAAAAATGTTTTCAGTTTTGTCCTATTTTTTGCTACATACAGTACAGTTTTCTAAACAGCAGCCCCTTAGCCTTAGACCCATCCCTCCCCCATTTCAAGCTACCCACATGTTCTACTTCTAAATAGATTCCGGCAGAGAATTCACTGGACGAGGTGCTCTAGATCATCTTTCCGGTGCATGCTGGGAAGGTTCTACTACCGAGTGGGTGAAATTGCAAAGAGTAATTGAAAGCCGGCCAATGAGCAGTCAGTTAAATTCTAAATGTCAGATATGACTGAAGAATTTCTACCTGTATATTCTAGGTATGAAACCGTAGCTATACTACCCAATATGCTACTGGGGGTTGATATAATGCAGCCGACCACAGAGATACCCTCAAACGTAAATGGAAAAGATGGAAAATATTATAGGTAGATGTACGAGATGAAAACATTCATAATGACAGCAACTTTAAAAAAAAACATTTGATCAATAGGCTGGCGCACAATATAGCACAAAGTGTCGCAAATGATCAGTGCCGAAGGCAGCTGATGCTGCTCACTTAGAGCACATGGCAGCTTGATGTGCTTTTGTTATTTCGGGAAGCGGTGAGCAGGCAGTGGACTGATGATGTAAAACAATGGCAACTCTATGCAACATCGGTCCGTACAGTAATAGATTGTGCTTCACCGTTCATGTCGAAGTCGTCATTACTAAAAGGGAGTCCGCTCCTCACACCTCATTCACGCTCTCTCGTGCAAACACACGCGCGCACACACAACGACAACCTGTTTTTGAACAGAAGGGAAGCAGCAGAGAGGAGCTGTTTCAGTGTAATGTTTACAAGACTGACACATACTTTCTATATTGGAAGATGTGAACCTTCAGCACCACTTCTACGGCAACGGGGTTCGCGTACCAAGGCTACTCGCTAAACGAGGGGCATCTGAGAGCCCATTTCCTTTCTCGGAGAGTAATTAAATGAAGGTAGAACTTCAAAAGGCTACGTAGAAAAACTCTAGAACAGGAAGTCTGCCCCTGAGTGCAGTCCTGAGATTACTTATACATTATCACAGAGTCTTTTTCCTCAGCCCAGGTCCTTGGGCATATATAAGACACGGTTTGAAAACGCACTTAAGAAAAAAAGGAGCCGTTTGGAGTGTGTTACTCAGGGTTCCAGCCTTGCGTCTCCTTGGAACGTTTCGGCTTCGACTGCATTTCCTTGTACAAAAGTCCCTCTCGGCAGTTGGTTAATCCGCAGTCAGCGGATGTTGGGAGCTCGATTCGGGTCGACGTGCCCCTGGGATCACTGGCCCTCGCGGATCCTGACAAACAACAGTAGGCAGATCCGGGCCTCTTCAGGGAACACGGAGGAAAAGGAAGGAAGATCCCTTAAAACTCTCTAACGAAGTGTAGACATGAGTTCTTTAAAGGTTCCCTTTGATCAGCACTTTGCAGGAAATCGGCGGGCGGGGTCGATCCGGGGCAAAGGAGGGGGGAGAGGGTGATAATAAAACGGGGTGAGGAACGGCGTGCCGCTGACCCCGAGCTCGCTGTTGTGGAAACGGTATCATGAGATATTATACTCTGCCTGTCATACTTCAGATGCAAAGCCCTTTTAAAACCAAGCGAGTCCGATACCAGCTTCACGTAACCTTGGGAAGTTGTGCACGATAAATACTTTTTTTTCTGTCTTGTCCTTGAAGGGAAAGGTAAACTGAATGTAAAAAACTGATCTCTCTGGCGTATGGGATAGAGAGGCCAGCCGTTGGGAGGACTACGGGTTTCAGGGTGGGGGGTGCTGGGGCTTGTAGGGCTGGGCTGGAGCTTAGAACGTGTGGCCTGGTGGGTCCATTACACGCAGATCTCAATCGCCGTGGCCATCACCATCTGGCCTTTTCCCTTCTCTTGCCTTCCAGGGGACTGGTGCAACCCGGAGTCAGATCGGGCAGAGCTGGGATCTGACGGGACACTGCGTTTAAGAGGCGCCGGTCGCAGGCAGGCAGTGGAGGGCGGTGTGGAGGTCTCGGGGTGCCGGAGGCCGGGCCGCGGGCCCGTGGAACCGCTGGGGCCGGCTGGCACAGTACGTTCAGCCCTCTTGCCCCGGCAGGAAGTGCGCCTCCGGAGGGCGCTCATCAGCTCATACTTGATGAAGTGGAAAACGTCCTTGACGGAGCAGCGCTTCTCGGGCTCCACGGCGAGCAGCCGCTGGAACATGCGCAGAGCGTCATCCGTGAAGCGGCGCCACTGCGACGGGAAGACCCCTGGGCGGCAGGGGCCGCGCTGCCAGCGCAGGAACTCGTCGTAGAAGGCGTCGGACGGCAGGGCCGCCTCCCAGGGGAAGTTGCCGGTCAGCATGCAGAAGATGAGCACCCCGAAGGCCCAGATGTCCAGGCTGCAGTCCACCAGAAAGCCCTCGGTGCGGCTGGCCTGGCACACCTCAGGCGCCGTGTAGGGGATGGTGCCGCTGATGCGCTTCACCCGGCAGCCGACGCGCCGCGTCATGCCGAAGTCGGCCAGCTTGACGCGCCGGCACTCGCGGTCGAAGAGGAGCACGTTCTCGGGCTTGACGTCGCGGTGCACCAGGCTCTTGCTGTGCATGAAGTCCAGGGCGAGGCCCAGCTGCTGGATGCAACGCTTCACCATCTCCTCGGGGAGGCCCACCTGAAGCACAGAGGGGCAGCTTTTCAGTCACATGACATTCAGCGCAGCCTCGTTCTGACAGTGACAGGGTAGCCATTTGCTGATAGGTGAAGCGGCTTCTTAGACCCTGGCCGTAGTGAGCGACTGTGCGTGTGCGTGTGCGTGTGCGTGTGCGTGTGCACTGTCATGGACCGGCTTCCCGTCTGGGCCGTTCCCCTGTCATGGGTCTTAAGCTGCTTTGGATGGACTCCAAACTCACAAATACACAGTACTGCACAAAAGTCTTCAAAGACAATGTTTCAAGCTATTTATCTGTGTAGTAAGTATATATTTGCTGAGGGAAAGCCACAATTTAACATGAGAATATATGCAAATGAATAGTACTGCTACAAAAAATAGCAAGAATTTCTTCTGTTCTTCAAAATGTTCCTAAGGAAATTCAATTCCCAAACCTCTCCTCAGGGGCACCCCAGCCATTCCATGTATTCGTTACATTTCACCATATTTAACTCAATTAGTTAAATAACTTGACGAGGTACTGATTAGATAACCATGGTATGATAGTGGTAAAATACCAGGTCACTTTAGATTTTAAAGCTAACACCCTTTGGCAGATATGAAATCATAGTTTTACAACAACAAAAAGATCATTCAAACATAGTTTTCTTTTGCACAGTACTGTATATTGTTACACATAATTTGATGATCATGTCCAAGTATTGAAAATAATGAAACCAAAGAATCTGAGTAGGCTATTATAATGTTTTATATTACTGCTCCATCACTGTCATGACTTTACAATCTGTTAGGATGGATGGATGGATTTCCCGTTATTACTGGCATGGATCAATAATTGATATACAGAGAATCCCCACCCCTAACAATATTAAGTGAATTGATTAAGTTAACGAAACATTCTGCAGAGCTGGCAGAGCTCTACAGGACAGGGTCGTACATCACAATGACCCATGAAGCATCCAGTCCCAAGACCCCAATTACAAAGCTATCTAATAGACAGACTTTCATTCCAAGATAAAGTCCAAATCTGAGCATACCTGTTAAGCTATGGTATGAAATGGCCCTTCTACAGAGATATCGCGACCTAGGTGTCAGAAGATAAGCTCGTGCTGATAGATACCTGCGGGGGAATGATGTCGAAGAGATCTCCAGCAGGCGCGTACTCCTGGCCGAAGACGTAGCTGTCCTCCGTCTCAAAGAGCACGTCAAGCACGTTGATGATGAAGGGGCTGCAGCTGAGGTTGTTCGTGATGGTGTACTCACGCAGGAAGCTCTTCAACTTCGTCTTGTTCTTGTTGACAAATTTCAGTGCCAGTTTTGTTCCTGAAAAACCACACACACACACACACACACACACACAGCAGCAAGGTTAATGATGAAAACGCAGTCTCGGAATATTACCCCAAAGTCTCTTTTGACCACACTTAGCATATGTGAATTTAAAAAGTCATAGATGTGTCAAGTTCCTTATTAAACGCTGTTCAAGTGTTTAACCCATGCTTTGTCCTCAAAGCACCTCAGAAACATACCTATTAACAGAGCTGGATTTTCACCTGAAACAATTTGGTTTGAGTGCCTTGCTCAAGGGCAGAATCAGGGGGACCATATCCTTAAGCGCTGCACCCCCTACTGGTCAGTACACACCCTGCCTCTGTTTTCTTCAGGAATAAAAAAACTAGTATTCTTGCAGACTTCCAAACCATGTGATTCTAGGAACCGGGATGGGGGGGTGGATTTGCTCCCCTGTCAGCTGCTGCTTGGGTTGTCTGTGGCTTATTTGCAGCAGCTAATGAAGTAGGCGGCTGTTGATAAGCGGTGCTGGCACAGTGCGCTTAACGCACTAACGCAGCATGACAGCAGCTCGGCTCCCGTCTGCCATGCTCATCATTCGATCTCCGCACACGCCAGCGCTGCCTCCATCCTGTCGCTATCCATTCCGCTCAGGATTCAGCGCACAGGTGAAGAGTTATTACACACTATGTATAACACCCTGTCCGTCCACTTAAATCCATGGAGGACACATTACAGTACATACATACACTGACCATAATTCAGTATAATGAGGCTTCCCCTTTTTGATGGAACAGGAAAGGCAGAAGAAGCGCTCCTTGTTCCCCAGGAGGCCGTGCCTACCCTGTGTGCGGTGAGCCACCAGGTCCACCTTGCCGTAGGTGCCCTTTCCCAGCTCGCGGATGTGCTCGTAGTGCTTGTGGATGTCGGCGCTGGACAGCGAATTGATGGCTAGGGCCTGCATGTCCTCCACAGGTACCCCACAGCAGCCCATCTTCCCAATGGTTGACCCCCCCGCACAGCCACCTCCTTCGGCCGGATACAGGGTCACCTTGGCACTGCGTAAAAAAAAAAAAGACAACCTGTTCACCCTTCCGTGTTTTCGTCATTTGCCCCCAAACCTCTGGCGGCCATCTTGCTCATACTCAACGCACTAAGACTAATATATTACAAAACCCCTGTAAATGGTTTTACAAAAATGTTATACGATGGCGAAATAAATACAACCGAGCTTTTTAAAAATTGATAAAACAAGAAAGAAACACCTGAAAGCAACCATATCTACAGTACATTTGAAAGCTATGAATATCAATTGTATACAGAACACCTCTTCATGTTAAAAATAAAATGTAAATGACCTGGTTTTCTTATGTTTAAAAATAGCATAGTCCTCTCCTGCACATGAGGCGGATATATAGATGGCAGACTTTAGCAGCATATATGTCACCGCTCGGCCTCTCCTACGACGCTCCATGCAGAGCAAGATGACGCATCCAACATAAAAATCACTGGCGCTACACAGCAAGTAAAAGTGGGAGTATCACCTTCAAAAAAAAAAAAAAAACACGCCAATTTCCTTTCACAAACTTGCTTAAACGGTGTTTGCACGGAATAGACAGGATGAACAGACATGATAATCGCTCTGAGGATGGGAGGGCTGTAGTGATATGGCACCTATGGTGATGTCCTGCTTAGGTTTGTGGCGTCAAGGGTTCCGACTGCGTTTTGCTAGGGAAGATCTGCGGTATTGCGGGCCATCCTGTCACCTCACACAGATTTGGGGGCTCTGTGTGTAGAGTTTGCATATCTGCCCACATCACAGCAGGGTCGCCAACTCTCATGCATCTGGGGCGACACTCATGCTTTCAGATTGTCAAGCTCATGTAAGAAATCTTACGGCAAATCTATATTATTCCATTATAAACCTAAAATTAGCTACATCAAAAGTGCAGAAGGAGTTTTCAAACCATACAGACTATTTGCAAGGTAATAACACACAGTTACATACAGGTAAATGTGCGTGCATACGCGTCTTGAATTGAAAATCTCAGTTCAGCCAACTGACCAAAGTTGACAACCCTGTCACAGGGTGCTCTGGTTATTTCCAAAGACTTGCAGGACAATTGGCACTTTTGAACTGCGTGTAGTGTGCGAGTAAATGCACCCCAAGACGGACTAGAATCCAATCCAGTGTGAAACCCACCGTGACCCCGACCAGGATGGATGGATTGTCTTCTGTTTGAAGGCACTAGCTGGAAAGAGTAGATCAGTAGATGGTTATACTATTATACATAGTCAGAAGACCAGATGCCAGAGATTGCAGAACCGAATGCAGTTAGCATACAGTGGTAAAAAACACAGATGCCCTTTTAAGAGGGAAAATGCATAAGTAAACCAAAAATTCATGTTTGCACAAGAAATGTGACTGCACGGGACTCCACACTCATGTATTATTCATGAGCATGAAGCAGGCCGTGAAGGGAGTGTGCCTTTCAATTTACCCCTGAAGCCTAGAGGTTGTTTTGATATTAATGACTGCATTTCCAATGGATTTTGGATGCTGAAAGGCGTGTCTTACACCCCGACCAGAGGAGACAAATAAACAGCATTCTAAGGTCACAGGAAGCTCTGAAAGCCATGCAAAAGGACCAGCTTGGTCTTTCGCTCCGAGGGGCCCAGTGCCCATTGACTAGCTTGTCTAAAAGACTATTAGCCAGTTTCACTATTGTCTGTGTGTCTGTGAATTGAACATAGTTTTCCTCATTCATTCATTCAGAACCAAAAGTGTTTCTGAAGAAAAGCCTGAACATCCCTAATCTGAAGTACCCATCCACCTCATTTTAGGACATTGAAGGGGTGGTTTAAACATGTCAGATATGCCACTGAAGATACCTCTATTCCTGTACAGTCAGGTGCTTCTATTTATATGTAGCGAGTGAAATATGACCAATGAAATTGGTCACCTTCTTTGGACAATCCGACATTGGTGTGGCTTTTCAACAGCGATCCTGTTGCCATGAAAACAGCCGTAATTCGTGTCGCTGACAGAGCCTCAGAGGATGTGGGATCTCTGAGGCTGGGCTCTTGTCAGAAGCCAGACCTTCATTACGAGCCCGAGCATGTCGGCCCAATTTTGGAACTGCACTGATAAACAGAACGCGTCCTCTGACAAACAGAAAGGCTCTCACATCAGGTCCCTGCAATACAATAAAAACCTGTTATTTTTACATTTTTCCGGTCCCACAAGGGGAGATTCAATTTTATAAAAATCTGTGACTGTAACCAAAAAAGATTTGTATTTTATTTAGTTACTTATGGTTAAGGTTTTTATAGATGGAAATAGGGATTTTCCAAGGAAATGAATAGACGGTCCCCACAAAGATATGAGTACAGGTCTGTGTGTGTGTGTGTGTGTGTGTTGCTGCTCCAAGCCTTGTTCCTTTTCATGATCATTCACTGTATATGTGTGTATGGAAATGGATGGATTTAATATATTTTTACATGTAATTTCATGATAAAAGCCAAAGACTGCATTAATACGCCTGCTATCAACGTCATGCCTTTAGTACTTGTTCGACATCTTTACCCATTTGTGTGTTCGCACACTAACACAGTCTTATTGGCTGGCGTTCGAGTTTAATCTCCTGTGGCCCTGCAGGAGATCTTCAAAGCCCTGTACAAGCTTACTAAATCACCACCATCACCCCAGATACCTAACGATTCCTGGTGATTCACACCGTGGTGTTCAAAGAAGAAAGTGAAAGGGTCTTTAAACTGGCTTCAATCAGTACTTCTGGCTCATGGAGCACTCTCCCACAATCCCCTTCTGCTGTGATTACCCTGAATCCCAGGGTACAGGAGCAGAACAGCACTGAGAACCCGACTAATTCACTACAACCTGTACGGCTTGATTCGAGCAGTGGGGGGGTAGGGGTGCTATTCCTTTTGAATAAATTCTGCACACCCGTCACCATGAACATGGCATCATCTCCTTAAAGGAGCCAGTCAGCAAACATGCAACCAAACGGCAGGTGGTCTCCGCTAAGTGACCTTCTGAAGTTGATGTTGAGAGGTGGGGGGTATCAGAAGAAGACATTACAGATGCTACGAATTCTAAAAAAAACTTCCGTCCAATAAAATTCAAGTGATCGATACATGTCCAGCATAAACACAGTGTATATGCTCAAACAGAAACAGACAGAATTTAGTTATTTTTTAAAGTGGTCACCTTCTCAGATACTGGGCTTAGAGAAGGTAGGTTTTATTGTGACAATGAAGGATAAAACTCTAAGCAGTCCTAAGCAATATCTAGACTAAATTTATCCTTGTCAAAAATGTAGCAGTATAAAAACAAAAAAAAAATTGCTCATAAATTTATTTATTTATTTGTTTGTTTGTTTATCAGTCTTATACCCTCATTTTTACCATTCACAGGTAGTCAGATTATTATTATTTTTTGTGACACAGACAGATAATACTACTCTTGTGTGTTTAGAAATATTACACATGTTTTGACACTTTCTATTAAATTGTATTGGGTAAAACTGCATGTATATAGACACTGACTCTCCACCTGTGAATAGCTGAGAAACTTGCATGACTGACAAACAGCATGCTGTGAAGCAGATGTGTTTTGCAGGCCACAGCAGTCTGCGCTTGTCAGGAATCCCAGTATCAATGTGAAGGGACCAATGGTTCGCTTTGCACTCTTGAGCCATACCAGAAATATCCGTACTTCTCTGTGTTATTCCTAAGAATCGTGACAGAATATGCATGTTTTAGCTCTGCGTAACACCAGCAATTATCTGAAAAGACACCGCCTTCTACTGGACCAGTATCACATGGTATTCAATTGACCATTAGGCTATAATTTAATTTCCTTTATTTACTGATGCTAATTGTATTTCTCCATTCGCAACAGATGTTTTCAGATCATGATGTAAATGATGGGTAATTTTGAAGTGCAAAATATTTGGGAAGGTGTTACTGGGATCTTTCTCTCACTACCTTATCTGTAATATCAAAAAAAGGTGCAATTCCATTTTTAAATACTATTTTGATATCACTGCTTTGCTTCTTTCCTATATTCAGAAGACTGACATACATGTGAAAAAAATCACCTTCCTTACTGATCTGAAATCTTTAGATGCATATTAGATATGTGACACATTTACCATCAATCATCGTATGAAAATTGATAACATTTTTCATGAATCTACTACACAAGACAAGTAATTACTCCTTTCAGTACAAAAAAAACAAGAGATTTCCATGAAAAAGTGATCTTCAAGCATAAGCTTTGATTTAAAAATGCATCAATATTCACAAATGGTTCTTGCTTCAAATGAAAAGAAGACTAATTACAGAAGGTTAGATCGTTACAATCATGAGGAAATCGAAAAAAAAATGAGAGAAACTATGTATAAAATATACGAGCAAATTTACACCCAACCAGGCCTTCAATTGAAAGACGCTACATATAGGGAAGGAGCCCTGACAGCTGGAAGACAAATGTTGTTCCTTGGACCAATTTTTTCTCTGAACAGAGCAGCAGGTGCATGTACTCAGGCGTCTGAGTCCACATGTCAGAATCAGGGGGGAAAGATGGGCTTATTCTCAAGAGAGTAATAATCAGATTTTGCTTTCTGACTCATTCCACGCTAATGGATTAATGGAGTAGCTTCTTTATGCCCCAGACTGGAGTCGCCATTATGATCTCTTTCTCATTTTGGGGTGTCATTACTCCCAAGGACAGAGCTGTCGGCTAAGCAGCTGTGCATTGTAACGTATTTCAACTCACAGCCTTCTCCGTGTAGGAAAGTGCGGCAAACCAATTGCAGATGATCGAGCTTCTGTAAAGCTATGGTCACTAGTGAAGTTTTCTTGGCCTTGTGTATCAACAACATGTAATCTCTTAATTTAAGCTTAAAACTGCGAGAGATTAGATTTCCTTTAACGTGGCTGCATTCGTCTATGAACTTGAAAATTTTGGTTGACTTCGCTAATTTTGTTGATTGCTAATTGCAATCCAACACAACAATGCAACGCTTCAAAGGTATAAATCATCCATAACAAACTTACACAAAATGAAGGATGGCTTGCAGTAAAAAAACAAAAGATATCTTCTCTTTCACATTTGAAAGCCATCCATTTTCATCTGGAATATCATTTTGTTTTCATTCACACTTGTATATGGTTGAAAACACAAAATGCTTGTTGTGCTCACAGAACAACAACACATTACATTAAACACCTATTAAATTTGATGATTTATATTTCACCTTTAGAGATACTGCTTATTTACATACAAATAAAATTTGTTTTACTTCCTTTGTTTGCTTCCTGTCTCATCAGGGGTCTATTCCAAAAAGGACATAAATATTACAAAATACGAAGCAGAAAGTACTTCGTGTTTAAATGCCGTTTTGCCAAAGGCATCCCAGGTGTTTTCCACTGAAGACTTTACACTCTGAAAAGCTGATTAACATCTACATATTTATTACCCGGAAATTATTCTGAAGGTGTCTTGGGAAGGGCAGATTAGACATAATTTCACAGTGTGGTACCCTTTGCTGCATCATGTCTCCTCTGGGCCATTCAGTCTGAAACCTGTTTAATTTCCCCCTCTTGCTTGCTACTTTGCTATTGATTAAAATTTTCTCCCACGTGTCTGTAACAGTCAAGCTGATTCCATGGGAGGAGTACGGGAATTCTCAGTATGTGAGTATAAACAGTTGTTCTTCCACTGACCTTCGCCTTCGGTTCTCGCCTGTAGTATGACCTTGGATAATAAACAAGGACAGTGATACCTGATAAGCCCTCTTGGCTACAGCCACTGAACATGGGGCAAGGCTGCGACTGGCCAGCATGCTTAGCCAGAAAACAGATGGAATCCTAGGATGAGAAAGGCAATCAAAATTCACATAAAGGACACAGAGATGTTATGAAGTATTAGGAAGAACCGTGCATGTATCTGACAATGTATGAGCATACAGCAAAACGAACTTGACCTAGACCTTGGATATTTCCAAACAGTTAATGTACACATGCAGTCTCCTGTAATTCTTAGTCCAAGAGTCAAACTGTCCTGTTGGATTCAATAGGAGCAATAAAAATATAATCTGGAGAAATCTCAGACACATCACTCAGAAATGAATGAAACATAATCTCTAACTTCAGTCTATCCTTTTCCCCATCCATAATCCCAGCATACAGTTCCCCATTGTCATAGCTGGTCTACAAATACCCTAGA